AAAAAAAAAAAAAAAAAAAAAAAAAAAATGTCCGAGAGGCCCGAATCGACGGGAGAGCGAAATCGAGGGTTTGGTTTTTGGTCTTTGCATTCAGCCTCCCTTTTGGAGCCTCCCGACTTCGGATCATGTCGAGGTTCTGAATCTCGTTAGCGCAGTCAGGCCCTGCCTTCCCTGTAAGATTTTATTTGCAGGCAGGAGCATTCAATCACAGACTGTTTTTTCAAAAATTTCAGCCATTCAGGTACTGCCTTCATGATTTTTCTCTTATATCCACTTTGCACCTATGTTAGAGAGCTTAATTGAATTTTATTTTATTTTATTAACTTTTTCTCCAAATTAACTTTAAATTGATTCCCTTTTTTATGTATCCTCACCCTAAGCAATAGCATTAGCAAAACCACAGCCTGAAAATAAATTCAAAACGATTCAAATAAAAAAATGTATATATACTAGCTAAAATTGTCTTACCTACCACATTTGGAGATAAACTGTGGAGGTAATAATAGCCAACACATCAGTGTTTCAGGTACTTTGTTTTTCATTACTGGGGAATGAACCAAGGGTTTCACACTGAGCTATAGCTCCTACCCCACTCCTTAAATTTTGAAAGAGGGCCTCCCTAAGTTCCCTAGGTGGGCCTTGAACTTTCTACCTTCTTGCCTCAGCCTCCCTTTGGACTTAAATTGCAGATGTGCACCACTATGTCCGGCTCCAGGTACGGCTTTGGGCACTGTACACACTCTTATCCCCTCATGACACCTTAGGAGGTAGGAATTGTTAATACTTTAAAGAGAAGGAAAGTAAGGGCCAGGGATTTAACTCAGTGGTTCTGGTGCCTGTCTTGCAAGTGCAAGGTGCCGAGTTCGATCCCCAGTACTAAGAAAAAAAAGAGAGAGAGAAGATTTATTTTTTTATTTTATTTATTTTTTTGAGGGGGTTCTTTTTAACACGGGGTTTCGCTATGCAGGTCAGGCTGGCCTTGAACTCCCAGTGATCCTCCTGCCTCAGCCTCCCGAGTGCTGGGATTACAGGCATGCGCCACCACACCTGATTTAGCCTTTCTTTTTTAACCTCCGTCTACTTCCTTTGGAATCCCAAAGGTGTTTCCAAAGAAGTTTCTCCTCTCCCCTACATCCCGCTTCACCTGCAGGGGGACAGACTTTCCCATTTCTGGTGTTTCATTTTCTTCCCCGTACTAAAATAACCCATAAGTCTCTGGTGTCTATGAGAATCCTTCGCCCACACCCCATGATGGGGTATTGGATTCAGGGGCATGATACCACTGAGCTACACCCCCAGCCCTTTTTCTTTTGAAACAGGGCTTTGCCGAGTTGCCCAGGCCGACCTCCAACTTACAATCCTCTTGTCCCAGCCTTCTGAGTAGCTGTGATTACAAGCACCACCATGACCAGCTAGAGAACCGCTATTTTGACTGACCCTTCTCTTCCGTTGACCAGGAAACAACTTGGTAGTTCTGCCCATCTGCGTTGAAACTACATTTCCCAGAATGCCATTCTCTACTGGAATGGAAACAAAAGTCCTATGTCAATCTATGTGTCTCCTAATTTTAGGGTCTGAAAATCTGGTCACTAACTTGGATAAAGATTGGTATGCCCGTAGACTAATTCTTCTGGCCCCAGGCAGACACGAATTTCCCAAGCCTCAAAGATTGGGGGAGGGGTGGGTTATTACAAAACCTTCAATTAGAGGGACCCATAAGGACTTGGCATGAGCCTTCTAAAAGATTGATGACCCCTGCCCGGTAGATCTATTTTCTCTCCGCAAAAGAGCCCTTCCCTCTCTTTACTTCCTTTCCTGTCCCTTTCCTCCAGATTCTTCTCCTAATTGTGCCATTGTGCCACTCCCTAGTCCCCACCCCCATGCCCACACCCACACTTTAACTGTTTCATATAAAATTCAGCCCACCAGACTGAGGTTTTCTTCGACCCAAATGTTATTTTCAGAAGGAGCCATTGAGGTCGGGGAGTAATTGCAGCGTTGGGCCTCTGCAAGCCAAGCTGAAAATAATCAGCGAGGCAGATGGGGTGGGAAGCAAGTACGGTTGCCTTCCCCTAAGGAGCCAGAGGAACCCAGTGCAGTGAGTCAGAGGGAGGCCAGCGCCAGGCTGGGCTGCCCCTGCTCAGGTCCGAGAGTTCAGCTGAGGGGAAACAGCCAAGGTGTTGGGGGCCTGAGACTGAGCCCCTTTCCAAGGTGGCTCCTGGCTGCACATCACAAGCCCGTTGCCCGTATGGCACCCCTAAACTTGTCCTGCTCTTACTTGGGCTGTAGTAAGGCAGTAGGCCACTCTGGAACCTGGCCATGCCAGTTGGCTCACCCATCTCTATACTGGGGTTCCTCAGCTTTGGCACCACTGACACACTGGGCTGGGGGATTTCTTTGTTGTGGGAAGCTGTCCTGTGTGTTTTGGGATGTTTAACAGCATCCCTAGCCTCTCCCCTCTCGGAACCAGGAGCTCACACATCTACACACGGCCCACTTACCCCATCGTGACTGTCCAAAATGGCTCCCAGTACGTGTGATGACAAAATGGTGCCTGCTTGAGGACCACTGGTCTAGAGTAACCCGGGCCTCGATGCCAGAAGTGCCGTACCTTTAAGCTTCCATCACTCCTGAATGGGTTAGGATCCAAACTATTGGCCAACTGCTATTCCCAGGGGCAGCTGTTGGGGGCCTCAAGCACAGCATGAGTGCCCGCTGTGTGCTGGGCACTGTCCCCGGCATTGACCATGGGGCAGTGCCAGGAAGATAGGCATTCAAGGGCCTCTGGTGAGAGGTATGAAGAGGAAAGACATGGAGTGCTAAGGAACACAGTGGGGGGTTCTGGCCCAGATTAGGGGATCACAGAAGGCTCCTGGGGGACATGAAGGAGCCAGTTCTGTAGAGCTATGACACAGCATCAGATGCCACGAATTCTGTGACTGCTATACATGTAAAGAACCGAGGATGTCTGTCACAAGCCAGGCTCAGGACAGCATAAAGCCATTTTCCCCTCTCACCCCTAAACTTGTGTTTCCTGTGCTCCTCTGGGTTTTTAGCACAGGCATGTAAACTTCGGATCATGTTTAACCATCTTGAAACCGCCACCCCCTTGGCCTCACTCAGTGCCCCTCAGCCCCACAGTTACCAAGTTCTGTCATCCTACCACGAAGATCTGCAAACTGCCCCCGGCGCTGGTTCCCACCACCAAAACCCTGATCCCCACAGGCTGTCTGCATGACTCGACCACATTTGTGAAATAGCTTCCTAACGAGTCATCCTCCAGTCCCCGGCTTGGAGAAAGACACAGAGCCATGTCTCCCCTGCAGGGCTTCCAGGGCCTGTCCCACAGCCTGCTCCGGCCCATGGGCCTGGGGTGTCCCTCAGAAACCAACCCCATGGACTCCCCAGGCCACTAGCCACACCCTAGGGGTCCCCACACATTCACTGCTTGCTTTATTTGAAGTGCAGTTTCCAACCCAAACAATGTAGCAAATGCCCGTGTATCTCATAAGACCCCAAATGAACTCATCACACGCTTTTCATCCCTTCTAGTTGCCTTCTTGTAATTCCTCCATTTGCATTGGGCCTTATACATCGCTGCTAGTTTACCATTTGTCACACTGACCCTTACCCACTTGATTGAGTCTGGCCTTTCCCCTAGAACCTGAGAACCTCTCAGGGGCAGGTCATGAAATAGACCCTACTAGTGGACCATCCAACATCCACTCTTCTCCCCAGCTTCCTCAGAGAGGTCAAGAAAATGCAAGACACAGTGTAGAGAAGAGGCCTAGGCAAGCCCATAGGTCTCCGTGAAGGGACCCCTTGTCCAGCTCCAGGGTGGACACCTTTTCAGGAATTGGTCAAGGAACCTGGCCTACATTAGTCCGGGTGCAACATTGTCCCTTCCTTTTTTTTTTTTTTTTTTTTTTTTTTTGGTACCAGCGATTGAACTTGGGACCTTGCTCTTGTGAGGCAGGCAGCGGCACCACTGAGCTAAATCCCTGGCCCTCTCCCCTTCTTTAATAGAACAGACTCTTCACTGAGCCACAGCTGCTTTGCTGAAGACTACATTTCCCAGCATTCCTTGCAGCTGGAGGGGGCGGTGAGCCTAGGTTCTCACCAATGGCCAAGGAGCTGAAACGTTAGCACTCTAAGAGTCTCTAAACTGTGCCCTCAATAGGACTGTGCAAGTCCTTTCCTGTCCCTTCTCCCCATCTGGGAGGTGATAGCAGTCTCCTAGGATGTAGATAAGGAAACCATGTGTGGAGAAAGGCCAACCCCTCTCATCAACCTTGGACTGCCTTTTTCTAAATTCTTCTATGAAAGAGACATACATTTCCTTGTTTATTTTTTGAGACAGTTCTCACTATGTAGTTCAAACTGGCCTTGAACTTACTATGCAGCGCCGGGTGGTCTGGAACTCACGGCAGTCCTCTTGCCTCAGCCTCCCAGCTTTTGGAATGAATTACAGCACCACCACACCCAGCTCTTCCTCTTCTTCTAAGAAGATCATTCCTGTTGGATTAGGACTCCACCCTTATGACCTCATTTAATTTTAATCCTTAAAAAGCCCCACCTCCAAATAGAGTCACACTGGGGATTCTGGCTTCAACATAAGAAACGGAACACAATTCAGTCCGTAACATCTGCCC